ATTGACGTAGATTGGTCAGAAAGAAATCCCAAGTCTCTGTTGTCTTTCCCTTAACAATGGCGAATGCAATTGGGAAGATATTTTGCTCACCATCTTGAGCAACTGCCATCAAAAGTACATGCCTATATTGACCATACAGCCACGTACCATCTACTTGGATCATACGTTTGCAAAATGGAAATCCTTCAATACATGCCTTGAATGCCCAAAATAGTCTATGAAATATTTTCTTCCCTGGCAGAAGTTGACCTTCTTCATCATATGCGGGCATGGTTTGAGACTTTACTATGGTTCCTGGATAAATCACTTCATTGCTTATAGCAAATGTTGTAGCTCATTGTACGATGTATCCCAATCTCCATACATCAGCTTCATTGCCTTCATCTTCACATTCCACACCTTGCCATATTTTACTTGATATCCAAATTGGCTTCGAATAGATGCAGCTAAAACTGAACAAGATATCCTTGGATCCTTTTCAATCATCGCCTTCACGTATTCACATATTACATCAGAGTCCAATAGTCGGTGGTCTTGTTCGATGGAGTTTCGCAAACATGTGTGCGGACCATTGTACCTCGTGATGACCCAAACATCGTGCCTTTGATTTTTCGACACTCTAATCTTCCACTTGCACTCTGGGTCATATTTTACACACTTGATGCAGTACTCTTTAATCACCAGCGTAGCTTCATTTTTTCCTCTGAATTGCACCCCAACTGAAAATTCACCAGAATTATCGAATGATTCAGTCATTTGGTACGGAGGTAAATTTGGCATGTATGAGAATTCAGGTGCCCTCATCGCATCATAGTCTATCTCGTATATGTGAGGAGTAGCTTCATACGGTGCCGAAACTTCATCAATTGCACCTCCACCAAAAATATTTTCGTCGCCGCCCAAAACGGGTTCTTCAGTTTCTTCATCTTCGCTTGAATCATCATGAATTTTTCCCCATCGATTATCAGCGTCAATATCAACAACCAATTCCGGTATGTTTCTCGTCTCATACTCTGCTGCTGCAGATGTCCCCCGAATTCATTTACACTTTCCAATAGTGCCATAAAACTGTTCGTGAACCTGTATGTCGGCTCTTCAAACTGACTATATAAAGCCATTTCATATGGATTTTGAGCCACACCTCTTGATGACCCAGGAACATCACATATGTTACGCACATCAACAAATAACTCAATAACTGCTATATTGGTTGACTCATGTAATCCAACCATGGTTCCAATATCATCATCTTCTTCAAGTGGAACTGCAATATATCTGACTGGGTTGGGGCATATCATAAACCTATACCTCAAACCATCAACTGCAGCTCGAATTTTTCTTTCTATCTTATGCTTCATTTCTGTAAATGTGATGTCTTTTTTGAACATCATATTTATTGGTTTTTTAGATTGAAAAACTACTCCGACCTCATTTTCCATAATCTGTCCATTATAATGGACAATCGTGAAAAAATTGTTGCTCATTTTCTCTACAAATAAAAAAATAAATTAATTTAGATTAAAAAATTAGATAAGATAATTTCATAAATCATTAAATCATTAAATATAATATAATATACTATTATATTAATGATCAAATAAAATTTATTATTTAACTTGATTGATTACTAATATTACTAATAATGATTTAATAATTATTATTAATCTAATGATTTGATATTTAATGATTTAATAATAATATGATTTAGTCATGATTACTAATAATTATTTATTATAAATATTTAATGATTTAAATTTGATACTAATCATTTAGTAATTATTACTAATAATAATGATTAGTTTGATAATATTTTTTATTTTTTTAAAATATCAAACAAATTTGTTAGGCAAAACTGTCGAGATAATGTTCTCGAAAGAATTATTTCGCGAGATAATGCATTGGCCGGATTATTTCATTCAATTAATTTTTACTCCTTACTAATTTACACATACAATATAAATTAAATTTTTTTAAAACAACACTAAATATTTTTAAACATAATATTTTTTTATACGGAAATTATCTCGCACAAATTAGTTTATATAATCTAATATTTACTTACTAACTAACTAATTTACACATACACAACAACAAAAAATGGACAACAAAAAATAATAAATTACTCACGTATTTATGCCTTCTTCCTTTCCTTTCTTTTCCTTCTTTGTTTCTTTCTTCGAATTAATCTGTACGTGGGCAAATATTGTGGAATAATGCCCTGTATGTGTAAACAAAATATTTATTTAAACAACAATAGCTCCCACAAATTAATGTTATATAATCTAATATATTATAATATAACTTAAACTAATAAACTATTTCTTTATTATAATATAACTTAGTTAAAATAACAAACTAATTAAACACTAATTAATTTTTTTTATAATATAACTTCAACTTCAACGAACAACCTAATATACGTTTAAAGACACTAACAAATTAATTAATATTTTTTTTATATTTAATAACTTAAACTAAGAAACTAATTAACTAATTTTTTATATAATATAATATATAACTTAAACTAACAAACTAATATAATATAACTTAAACTAACAAACTAATAATTTATACTAACAAACTAATTAACTAGATTTTAGTTTTACCCTAAACCCTAAACTAACAAACTAATAATTTCATATAATAAACTAAATTAAACAATAAAAATTACCTCATGAACTATGTTTGAGCCTTTATCTTCTTTTCTTCTTCTTCATTTTCTTTCTCTCGACAAAGTTTATATGTGCTTATGCTTATGCTTCTGGTTCTGCTTCTACCCTAAACCCCATATCCTTTATATAAAGCAAATGAGCGTTGGACAGAGTCATTAAATTTGTCTGTTGAAGCAAATAATATTAGCATTGAATCATATAACTATTGAGCATTGAAAGGCTACAATTGAACAACAATATTTGATGCATTTAGCAGCTAAATTAACGCTGCAATAATACAGCTATGGATGCAACGCATGCAGGAATCTCCCAGCTATGGATGCAACGCATGCATGAGGCTATGGAGGCAACGCATGCATGAGGCTATGGAGGCAACGCATGCATGAGGCTATGGAGGCAACACATGCATGAGGGATGCACGAGCTTGGTCGCCGAGACTCCATGGCGACCTACCATGTCGCCGGGACTCCATGGTGACCTACACCATTCGACGTGCATGGCCCATGCACAGCTCCCACATGCATCACTCCTTGGTCGCCCGGATTGCATGGCGACCTCCTTGGTCGCCCGGAGTGCATGGCGACCTCCTTTTGTCACTGTAGAATTCACCATATTTCAGCAAATAATATATCCAAAGCATTATCTCGTGAAATAAAAAGTTCGAGAACATTATCTCGTGGATTTTGCTCAATGAAATAGGTGGATTGAAAATGTAATAATATTTTAATATTTATAGGTTAAATGAATAGCATGTTCATTGGACCACCAGATACCAGATCTCAAATAGTACATGAAGTTTCCAAGGGGATCTTCGAAAAAGACAGGACGAATCTTAACAAGTGGATGATAGTGTCAGCTTCATTCGTTGTCAATCATAACACAACCAAATATGATATGAAGTCATGTCCCTTGGGAGTGGTAATAAACGGGGCAAAGGTGGTCATTACAGCAACACTCACTTTCTTCATATATTTTGTTCTTACCCTCTCTCCATTTATTTATTTTTTAAATTAAAAGTTTAATTTTTTTAACGAAAAAGTATTACGAGTACGATAAATATTTTATTAGGTTAAGTTAATTGTTTTAATAGTTTAAAATAATTATGAGATATTATTTGTTTATAAATTTTTTAATCTATTGATAATATATACACATCTTACATACACAATTGATCAAACTTAAGACCTCTAAGGAAAAGAACATTCTCTTCTATAATTGAGGTCATTTGATAGGTTCAAAAGAAAAAGTTTGATTTAGTCGATTCAACAAGTCTTATTTTATAATTCAAATTTTATTTGAAATTTTCTCGACTCTAATCAAGTTTGTGAAATTCGAGTCGAGTCAAGTTGTTCGAGCTTCTATTTAAATTTAATTGTAAATATTTATAATATTATGATACTAATTGATTATAATTTACACGGTTTTTAGAATAGTATATGATATATATGTAATTCTTCGTATGGAATTTAATTTGTTTTGAGCCAAAATGAATTTTGTTTATACCTACTTACGAGTAAACATGTCCACCAAAGAATATGAAGGGATTGTACTCTAAATGGTGGGTACTGAAATTCTTTCGATAATGCCACTATTTAGACTCAATCGCAAATATTCCAAACAGTGCAACATCCATAGGTCTATCCTTGATTATCATGGTTTTCAAAGAAAAAAATTGTAATTTTTATTATGTGTGTTTATACATTGAAAGTGTATCGATGTATGCAATTAGGGTACATCTTTAGAAATAAATAAATTCATCATCATCCCCTGGTAAATTCCTCTCCTCTACATTATCCCTGCCATTGAAAAAAAGTTGGCCATAAACTACTATTTTTGTCCAGGGGAAGGCGCTTCACCGGAATCTCCGCTTGTGGACGCATTGGCAACCGGAGAAGCCTCGGGTTCATTGCTAGATGGTTCATCATCCTTCTCGCCATGGCTTCCTCTCCTTTTCATTCTTTTTTCGATCTCCTCGTTGATCTTTTTCACCTGATCAGGGTTAAGTCCCCCATCGGACGACGATGTTATCTCGTGGCAATCTCTCCTCTCGAGCTCGACTCGGTTTTCACGACCACTCGAGTTTCTTACCATCCCCTCTCATGAATACTGTTGAGACAAGTAGCGAATTTACGGAAATAATATGCCGCACATGGTTAATTGGCTGTAGATAGAGGTGCTGACATCAGCACGTGATTCTATATCAACTCGACTGAAAATGCTGTCTATTTGCGAGCTTCGAGAAAGATTATATAAATTCGAGTAAAGGAAGCCACGTGTAATTATCGCGTTTGATTAATGATTTGGTTAACCGACTCCATAAGTGGGTGCAGTTGAAAGCGGTGGCGATTGGCGAATTGCGGACTATGGCTGAACAAATGGAGGAGAGACACGCGGCGGCGGAGGCTGGAACTGCGTACCGGAAGTTCAGTGGAAAAGATGAATTTCCGTCCAACATGTTTAATAGGATATTAGCTATTGCGCTGTGGCTTGGGTCTTTGCATTTCAACTTCTTTTTGCTTCTTTTCTCCTTTCTCTTCCTTCCTTTTTCCAAATTCCTCATGTTTGTCCTCTTCCTTTTTTTTCCATTCAAAAGCTTATTTGATATTTTTATTGGAAACAGAACGAATTTAAATGGCATAAATTCACGTGTTTTGTTTGATTCAATCTTCACAGGGTGGTTGGATTTCTCTTGGTTTTCATGGTTCTTCCTCTTGATCCTCACAGTAAATTTGGCCGGCGCCTGTCTAGGTACTCTTTGCTAGATCATATGAATATTATTGACGGAATAAGTTTATCTCATCGGTCATTAATGGTTTATCTTTTCTAATTAATTTGGATGAAGACTCATATCCGATGAGATAACAACAGTTGATATGTGTTTTTCATGTGAAAGATGAAACCTAAAGAGGTTAAGTGGTAACTGCCTACGAGACAAACTTATTCCGTCGATAAATATAATATATAGCCTCTAATGGTTATAGTAATAATAATAATCTGAATGAACAGGTATATATGTAAGCATCTCTGCAGTTATTTTCCCATCACTCTCCATGTTGAGCACATCCACGCCTTCAAATCTGATCGTGTTTATGGTTTGTTTCCTTCCTTTTTGCTCATTTATGTCATGCTTTCTCCTGTGCCGTGTATTTCCCTTGCATGAATCTAGATAGTGCTTCTGTTTATCTATTCTTTTACTTCTTAGCTTCCTTACATGAATCCGATGTTGTTTTGGGGAATTTTCGGGTATGCATAAAATTTCCCTATTTTATGCACGACTAGGACACTTTTTGTTCTCCTGTTGAACATTAATCTAGTAGATTTTTACAGTGTTCTGTTATACAAGGCTATATCTTCGGAAATGAACCATGGGTTTATCTGTATCTGTTTGAAATCGGTTAACCCTTTTCTTTTTTGGCAGAACCCATTTGCCCTATCAACATCCCATGCATGTGGTGGTGGGTAAACCGATCGAGTTGAAGAGAAATCCGAAACCTGCAGCCGAAGAGGTATCGTGACTCGTACCTTGTTCTACTTTCTATATTTAACTGAAATCCTCTGAAACATATATCCATGTCTCCAGCAGAATCGTACCAGTATCCATTGAACGAACTTTTTTTGCAGGTCCAGGAAGTTCATGACCAATTTGTTAAAGCACTCCAAGATCTGTTTGAGAGACACAAAGCTGGGATGGGATAGCTGATCTTCCATTAAGGATCCTTTGACTTGAACCAAGTTCATCGGTTCCTTTTAGCGAATCATGTAGGGTTATTTACAACATAATTTAAGACATAATTTTACAGTACCAACATTATCCCATTAGGGTAAATGAACCGATTCCGTGTTATATTTTTATAAAAATAAAAATAAAGCATAGATTTTGCTTCAACATCTTCGTATTGAATCCTTCTCATCGACAGCATCAACATTATCCTTCTCATTAGGTGAAGCCCTTTAAAAAGTTTTCGAACTCCTTTTCCTGTCCAGGGGAAAGTGGCTCTTCTTCCTGTTTAGGGATTAAGTGCCACATCGATAAATTTTGAAGCCTCCTCGATCGGACTGGCAGCGCTTTCCATATTTTTAAAGGCTTCTTTGATCTTTGCACTGATATGTTTTACCTGATAAGGGGAAAGTTCATCAATGACAGTATCGACATTATCTTCTTCCGGTGCTGCCGTCGTCAGGTACTCAGTGAAGCCCTTCAAGAAGTTTTCCATGAACACCTTTTCCTGTCTAGGGGGAAGCGTTTCACTTTCACCCATGGATTGCTTTTTGTTCGCCTCAGCCTGATGAACCAAATATGCCTCGACTGCCATTCCAACGCCTAGATAAAACACTTGTTCCTGTTGTGGTGTAAGTGCTACATCGGTAAGCGACGAAGCGCCGTCATCGTTCGGGACGAAATGAAGCTTTCCTTGTCTTGCAAGGTTTCTTTGACCTCTAAACCAGCGTATTTTACCTGATCGGGGGAAAGTTCTTCATCAGCCAAATCTTCTGCAGAAGTTGATTCACTTTTGACGAAGTCTTTGATTTGTCCGTCGTGCCCTACCACGGATCGTGTCGAAAGAACCAGTGCAAATGACATAAGACAATCAAAGCGATCTTCGTCATGTTTTCCCCCCTTCTAAAAAACTAATATAAAATAACAATAATTTATGGCTAATGATGCTTCAGGTGAAATTGGAATTTAAAGAGTTTTGAGGAGAATTTGAAGGCATGCTGACTGGTTTGCTTCCTAATAATCATACACGAGTAACAGAGGGATAGTTTCTCTCAAAAGGCCAATTTTCCTTACTAATAGATAAGTCCATTTACCTAGAACGTACGGTTTTATTTTAGGAATGAATTTATAAAATTTTAAATAAAAAAAATTTATGAAATTTTAGAAGAATAAAATTCAAATTATGAATAGAAAATAAAAAAAAAATTAAATATATAATAATTTAAATTTTTTAAAGAATAATTATTCCGATCGTTCTTTTGTTTTTGTTCAATAATGGTGTTCTAAAGAAAAATGTTATAAATTATATACATATTGTTAGCATTCGCATTGCACAAAATTTTAAAATTTTGCAGCATCGACAAAGTTTTAACGGTCTTCCCTTAGATCCTTAAAACAAGAATATTTCATTTATAAATTACTAAACTCGACAGTGATTAAGTTTTATACGTTATCTTTGCTGGATGACTAATAACTGGGAAGGTAAGTCCTTGCTGATTCATCTTCTAAAATTAGCATGGACTGGATTCGTATATTTTACATGGGAGGAGCGAAACCACCGTATTTTCAGTGGTCTGTTACGTCCGTCGGACACAATTGCAAATATCATTAAAGGACCAGTTAGGATTAAATTGTATAGACATAGAATGAATAGGGTGGATAATGTAAATAGACAATTTTATGTTGATTGGGGGTTTATATAACTGGTTGTAACAGTCTTTTTGTAGCAGTTAGCTGTTTTCTTTGGATAAATAAATTTGATTATCCAAAAAAAAAAAGTTTTATACGTTATCTTATTTTAATCATTTAATTATAAATTTTTTAATTTTTTGCTTCTTTATTTCCTATTTTAAAAAATTCATCGACAAGAATCGCAAAAAGAAAATCTAGTTAACTTTAATTTTAAATATATAAAACTCTTTGAAGGGATTTTAGTATATATATATATTTTTAAATAAAAACAATATTCATGGGATACCCAGTATGACATTTCAAGGCAACCTAATCAATTGCATGTTATAATTTTAATTAAATAAAAACAAATTTCATCGTATAATTGAATTCAATTTTTAATGATTTATTAATTAAATTGTCAACTTGTTGAAATTTCTTGCATAATGGATGGTATTATTTTAGAGCATGTTTAGGGTCATATTATTCTTAATTTGTTCTCTGATGAAGGATCAACTTCTTCATCGTCTCTTGAGGAAGGAGCATCAATGTTCTCTGATGAAGGACTGTCACTATTCCTTGATGAAGAAGACTCTTTACCATCATCTGATGAAGGACCATCACTATTCCCCGATGAAGAAGATTCTTTACCGTCCTCTCATGAAGGACCATCACTACCCTCTAATAAAGAAGATTCTTCCCCTTCACCTTATGAAGGAGCCTTAGCATCCCCTAGTGAGGGAGCAAGTTCTTTCAAAAAGTCTTCTACAAGATTCTCTTCTTGTTTAGGGGAAAGTGCCTCTTCATTGGCATGTTTTCAATATTTTGGAATGCTTCTTTGATATCCGAACCAATCTTTTTGAGTTGATCAGAGAAATTTTCTTCACCATCCGTATCGATAGTTGTCTCCTCCGGAGCATCTGCTATAGGACTTATCTCATTTTTTTTCTTCGTTCCCTACAATGAATTTTGGTAAGAGAATAAGAGAAATCGAAAATAAGACAATCAAAGTAATCTTTGTCATATTTTGTTAAAAAACTAATTCAAAAGAATAAGGATTTATCACTAATGATGCTTAAAGATGAATAGTGGACTACATTTAATAGTTTCGAAGGAGGATTTTACATAGATTTTCGAGGGCATATTGACTGATCCATCAAAATGACCATACACGAGTAAGTGAGAGAGAAAAATTCTCTCAACAGTTTCAAAGGTCATATTCTTTTCTGCATAATTGATATATCTCATTTGGTTTCCTTTATTTTGGTTCATGATAAATAAACGAATTCCACGCAATTTCCAAAAAAATAGTAAGCAATGACTTACCCTTAAGATGAGAAATCGCCCAAGCAAGCTCCCAACTCCAACTCCCCACTCCACGCTGCAAACGGCAAGCCTGCAGTACACTCAACCAAACTGTTTTAGAAAAAGTGTAGCCAAAAAAGATATGGTCCCTGGACTCAAATTCACTACCACAGAGAACACAAACAACATCCACATTAATACCAAAGGAAAGAAACCTATCCTTTGTAGGCAATCTATTTAAAATTGCCATCTAAGAGATTACCGAGTGCTTTGGAATGTGAAACTGATGCAAAACCAATCTATACCACTCCACCTTGCCCCTTCTCTGCCTAACATCCTTCCAAATCTCAGCAATAGTGAGGTTATGATCAAGAAAATCCAAATGCATTACAGTTGCCCTTAACTTCTGTTGGGAAATAAATGAGTAACGAGTAATTTCTCTATAACCAGATTAGTGAGAATGCGAAATAAAAGCGGAAAAATAATACCCGAAAATTGATAACGAAGTTCAGCCAATTTGCCTATGTCTCCGGACTGCTGTAGATATTTTACTAAAGAGAAAATTTACAGGAGTTTACAAAAAACACTCACAACTCACAAGAGAACTCTCTAAACTCTTTAGTATTAGGAGGAAGAAATGATTTTTGGGATGGTTTTGAAGCTAAATGAGCTAGGGTATTTATAGTTGAAGCTTAAGGACTAATCTTATAAATACCCTAAAGTTCAATGACTAAATGTGAATTATCCCAAGCCAACAAATTCAACATTTTACAACTGCCCCATTCGGTGCATTATTGCACCGAAAAAATCAGATTTTTATGCCCATCGATTTTGACTATTTTCCAACAATCTCCCACTTGAAGACTGATTTTAATCTGTCTTCACACCTCGATCACTGCAGCAACATTTCTGGTCTTGTTACTCTAGTATACCAACTGAAGCTGAACACAACTTCAGTTTGTCCACGGTCACCGTCTTTGTCAACATGTCTGCCGGATTTTGAGCTCCACTAATCTTTTCAAGTTTCAAAATCCCATCTTCTAGAAGAGACCAGATAAAATGATATCGCAATTGTATGTGTTTCGTCCTGGAATGAAAAGACGGATTTTTTGCTATATGGATAACACTTTGACTGTCACAATACAAGACATTTCTTTCTTGTTTCTTGCCTAACTCTTCTAAGAAACTTTGGAGCCAAACCATCTCCATGCTGGCTTCCATAGCAATGACATATTCTGCTTCAGTTGTGGAGAGAGGAACTATCTTCTGTAGTTGAGAAACCCAACTCACTGCGGTTCCTCCTAGAGTATAGACATACCCTGTAGTGCTTCTTCTGATGTCGACATTTCTGGCTAAATCAGCATCTACATAGCCTGTCAGTATCGTATCTCCACCTTTGAAACAAAGTGCTTTGTTTGTAGTACCCCGCAGATATATGAGGATCCATTTGACTGCTTCCCAGTGTA